GTTTTTTGGAACTGAAGATTGTAAACGAAGCGAAGAGATGGTTTTTCTTGTTTTCCTCGCATTCCGAATTTTGGCGCTTACGTGATTTGGAAAATAATCGGTTCAATTTTAACTCCAGGGGCGGAAAGTAATTTGAAGTAACCCAGTAATCCCAGCATCAAACAACTCCATAAGAAAAAAGTCCAGTTCTTTCAGACGCAAAACGATTGAAACAGTTTCATATGGGGGTCTCTTAGGGTTAAATACATGTTTAGGGGTAACGCAGAGTTTTCTTGAAAGAACAAAAGCTATAGAGAGAAAAAATCTGATGTTATTTTCGGACGAAGCGACCGCTGAGAAATCAAAATGCTCAATTTTGACCTTTTTCCCTTTAATTAGACTCTCCTGCAGCCCGATTATTAAAATTGATAGACAAAGCCTTCGACAAAGAATACAAAAAGGATATGGAGGGATCCTATTGGTGGAAACGGAGGTTACAATGGACAAAGGAAGTAAGTAGTAGACTAACTAAAGGCAACCCACGAGAGGCCTTGTAGTTAGTCCATCATTTTCTCCCTTCGTCTATAGGAACCACCCATTTCAACCAATAGGATCGTCTTATACTCCTTAAGTCTCTTTAGTCTATCGCTTTGTCTATCAATTTCAATAATCGGCCCTCAGGACGATTCGTTCCTGGTGGAAAGGTCCCGTTCGCAGACCTTGTAACAATTCTAAAATTGACTACAGTTTGCGATCAGGAACTACAATATTCTAGCTGGAGCGCAATTCAGCTGTGCATTCACGACTGCAAAAATGTCGAAGGAAATCGACAAGCCTAGGGTGCATGTAGTATCTACTTCATATTATTTTGTTTTCATTTCTAACCATTTGTTTTTTCTTAATCCTCGTGTAAAAACCACCCATTTGCTAAATACAATTCTAGCTGAAGCGCACTTAAGCTATGCATTGATGACTGCAAAAATGTGAACGCAAATCGAAAAGGTCAGCGTGCATGAAGGCTATTTCAATTGTAATCTTCCGTCACATTCTTACGGCGCAATGATACAACTATTTGAACTCTCCGGAATGCGTGAGGCATCACGCCGCATTTGAAGGCGTTTTCAAAACAGCCAAGTTCCGATACCCGGATTATCGTTTTGCATAGTTCATATTATTTTGTTACATTCCGTACCACTTGTTTATTCTTAATCCTCGTATAAAAACCACCCATTTGCTAAATACAATTATTGCTAACCCATCCGAAAAAACACGCACGTGCATAGGGAAAGTAATGGCACATACACCGTTTCTAAGCTGAGTTCAAAGTTGCGAAATACAGTCCAAATTTAATCCATCCCTACAACAGGTATGCCCGCGCCTGCGCCCAGCAAGAAATCGGAATTTCGGCCTGAAATTTTTTCTACGTTAAATGCAGCCCATTTCCCAACTTTTTTTCACTACCCGCCAAAAGAATTCCTAAAGCAGTCGAAATCGCTCCACCCTATGCGCCCTCCTTTGAATCTTCCATCGTGGACGAACCTTCAAGCGAACTACACTGAAAAAAAATTCTCGGCGCTTTTACCAAGGTCCGTTGATACCTTCACTATTTCACTTTTTTTACCAATTATTGATAATTTTACCAAGACAGACTGCGGTAAGCCTACCTAAAAACCGGATTTTATTGTTTTTTTCAGGTAAGAATACCACTTTTATTGGTAATCAATTCCCGGTAACTTTGCCATTTTATCTCGGTAATTCTACCACAGTCGATAAAAAATATTGGCGTTTTTACCAAGGTCCAGTAAAATCACCGAGAAAGTCAATAATTTCACCGAGATTTCTCGGTAAAATTACCAATTCCATAAATGGTAATTTTACCAAGAAAAAACTAGGTTCAAAAAGAACCCTGAATTCTTGGTAATTTTACCCTTTTCTTAGTAAATACACCGAGATTTTTTTTTCAGTGCTTGGACGAACCTCCGAACGAACTATAAACGAACATTTCGTCGTTTTCAGGTGACGGAGCTAGCCGACGGTATTTTCATGGGCTTCAGCATGAACCACGCGGTGGTGGACGGGGTGTCGCTGTGGCACTTCATCAACACCCTGGCCGAGGTCACGCGAGGCGCCCCGATATCGCATCTCCCCGACTTCACCCGCGACACGCCCCTCGCCACGCGGGCCGTGCTCCCGCTACCGCCGGGCGGCCCCGCCGTCGCTTCCGACAGCGACGCACCCTTGAGGGAGAGGATTTTCCATTTCACCAGCGACGCCATCGCCAGACTCAAACGCCGCGCAAACGAGGGCTGTCCGACAGTAGTGTAGATATAGGGATATACGGACACTTGACCTCACTTGACCTTTAAGACGGCCGCAGACAGAGGGAATCGGTGTGACGTCACTGGCGACTGGTTGCGGGTTGCCTACCTATCGTTACCAGTGTTGTAAAATTGTGCAGAAAAATGTTGATTATTACCAGTGTTGTAAAATTGTGCAGAAAAATGCCGATTATTTTAGGATGAGGGGTGGGGTACGGTGCATGGTGTGACGTCACTAGCGACTGTTGTGGGTTGCCTACCCATCACCCGCGTTGTCAGTCTGAGCAGGAAAATCGTGATTAATTGCGGGTATTGATGAAAAATTTGCGGGAAAATCTGTATTATTTTAGGTTGCCTGATCTTACAACCATGCTGTGACGTCACTAGCGACTGCTACGGGCTGCATACCTATCAGGGGTGATGGGTAATCGTTATCAGTCTAGTAAAATCGGGACAGAAAAATCGGAGTTAATTTACTGGGTGATATAGCTTCAATGATGTAAAATTGAGCGGGCTGTTTTACTGTATAAAATGATAGACGTCGCACCAAACAACATTGAAAATTGAAGGATGTCTGATCTTATTTGTTTCGGGTGATGGATAATCGTTATCAGTCTAGTAAAATCGGGACAGAAAAATCGGAGTTAATTTTCGGGTGTTGGATGTGAAATTGAGCGGGAAAATTTCGAGAGTGTTACTGTATAAAATGATAGCCGTCTTTACGTGCTGTGTCGTCACACCAAGCAATATTGAAAAATTGAGCGGGGGACCGGGTTGAATTTTCAAAAATGAAGACCAGCAAACGATTTCCCCAGACTTTTGACAAGAGTCGTGCAATTTAATCACCCCGTACAACGGTGAAAATTTCCGAAATTAAAGATTGAAAAATTCGAGTATAATCTTTGTATGTATTTAATTTATCTGTCAACAGTCATCTAAATGCTCAATTTCGGAAATTTCCCCGTGTATAATCTCTCCTATGAATATCATCAGACATTAGTTTGTCTTTCATTTTTGAAATTTTCTCATCTTAAACACCAGCCGAAGGAAGGCGTGGAGAAAACTTTAACCTTTAAGGTTTCATATTAATTTTTTTTGTAAAATTCATGAATAAACAGAAGATGAAAAAATATTTCTTTATCTATTTCATATATGGAACAGGTGAGAGGGTGACACAGCAGAGGGAAGCCATCTCCTGTTTAGACTAAATCCTAGGATTACCATGAGTTAATCCTAGAATTTAGCTCAACATTGACAGAGATAGAGCCCTGTGTCTGCTCACCCTGCATTTTTTCATTGTAAATGTTAAATCACTCATTAGTTTAGTATCCCACCCACCCACTCATTCTCAAAGTGAGAAAAAGGAAGAAAGAAAAAAAACTCGGGTATTTCCTCTTCGTCTCCTTTATTTGTTTTTTTATATATATATATAAAAAAAACATGAATAATATATAGATGAAGGAAACAGGGAGAGAAACCTATCCCCGGTATTGTTTCACGCTCCCATCAATACCAGGGATAGGGAACTCTCCCCCTCTGTTGGTCAGTATTGGAGCATGAATAAAAAATAAATTGTGGCAATTTTTGACAGGGAGAGAGAAAAAATAAGAAGTTTTGAAGAATTTATGGCAAATTGGCATATGACAATTGTGGCGGTTTATGCCTCAGCAGGGGCAGGGTCCTCTAGCTGGAGGGCCTCCACTGGCGGCGGGAAAAGTTCTTCTGGGTTATCTAAATGCCACGGGCGAAAGTCTGGTACAATTTGCCCATACAGGAGCTCTGGCATGGGTACACTGTGCAGATCAGGGTGGCACGGACAGCTGTCCTCTTCCGGAGGGGCGAGGTCTAAAATGAGCATGCCTTGCAGTGCCATAATGTACTGAATTTGCCGCCATGTAAAGGCGTCCATGTGGAAAAATACATAACGAGCCAGATGGAGGTGGCTGCGGCACTGCCATGCTGTGACCGGGTCCAGGGTGTCGTGGCACGACACCCAAAACCAACATACCCTGTTTCGGAACGTCAGCAGGTCCTCCCGGGTGAACTCATGGCGGCGGGACAGAAGACACCAGTCGATCCTGTCCGCGTACCGACGTAGCTGTCTTGAAGTAAACTTGTAAGACAAGGAGGCTGCTTTCCAGTTTATAATCGAAGAATAATTTCGAAGGATTCTTCTTGGAAGTTTGTTATAGAGGGTGACCGGGGCGAGGAGGGCCTCATCTATTGCCCACCCTATGGCTAGGTAGAGATTTACAAGTTCATGGGGTTTCAGGAACCCCGTCAGCAACAACCAAGGAAAATTCGCTGAGCGTATGGCTTCGAAGCGGATGATTGTGTCGGTGTTCATTGTGACTGTAAGAGAAGAGGTATGCAAGTAAGTGAATGTAAGAAGAAAAGCATGTAGTGCCTACTTTAAATTCATGAATAAACAGAAGATGAAAAAATATTTCTTTATCTATTTCATATATGGAACAGGTGAGAGGGTGACACAGCAGAGGGAAGCCATCTCCTGTTTAGACTAAATCCTAGGATTACCATGAGTTAATCCTAGAATTTAGCTCAACATTGACAGAGATAGAGCCCTGTGTCTGCTCACCCTGCATTTTTTCATTGTAAATGTTAAATCACTCATTAGTTTAGTATCCCACCCACCCACCCATTCTCAAAGTGAGAAAAAGGAAGAAAGAAAAAAAAACTCGGGTATTTCCTCTTCGTCTCCTTTATTTGTTTTTTTTATATATATAAAACATGAATAATATATACATATAGATGAAGGAGACAGGGAGAGAAACCTATCCCCGGTATTGTTTCACGCTCCCATCAATACCAGGGATAGGGAACTCTCCCCCTCTATTGGCCAGTATTGGAGCATGAATAAAGACCCAGCCTCCTTGGACAGGTTATATCCACCTGGAACATTTTCAACGGTTATCTGCTGCTGCCTTGATGATATCCAGGTGGATATAACCTCTCCAAGTCGGGTGACAGTATTTTCCTGCATACTCCCCGGTCCCATGATGTTGATCAAGATAGGTAGTGCAGCTGGATTGGAGGCCCATACATAAAAATGGGACTGAATGATGGGGCAAATATGTTGGAGCTGCATTATTGTTGTTGTTGTTGTTGCTATTGGTGCCGGTGGAGAGGGTGCTGTTGTTACTGTTTAAGATGGGTGGTGTGAGACCTGGTGAGGAGGAAAAAAAAATATTAGAAATGTAATAGAAAATAAATAAATAAATAAATAGATAGATAAATAAACTCAGGAAAGGAAAGAATGGGATAAATCTCGTATTTTGTTCGATAAATCTCTAAAATCGGAATCTCCTCTGGGGTCGTAGGATTTGAGATTATCTAAAATCCCTCCCGCTTTTGTCCCGCGTGCGGTAAGTTTTCGACATTGCTGGCACATTCGATCACATTCGCAAACCCACCACTTGGCTTTCAAACATTTAAATTTACCAACTTTACTCGACTCGTATGTTCTATTCATTTCGGTGTACCACGGGTGATGCATGAAAACCGCGTGATATTCTGCGAAGCAATCGAATCGCTCCGTGTTAGCATCGCTGTTGAAAATGTAGGGCATGAGCTGCCGGAGTATTTGAATACGCGGTTCGTACATAGCCTCCATTTTCAAAGCGTCCACGTAAAACTTGTCGAAAACAAAGAGGAATTTTAAATAATCTCTGAACCCTATTTTAGACTTTACAATCTCACACCACTCATCGATTGTTTTCAAACACCGGTCATTGCAACAGTGGCCTTTGAAATTGAGGTAGGAGACATCGAAAAATGGGTCCCGGTCATCCAACTGTTGGGATGGCGACATTTCCCAATGCAGCATCCCTATGAAAATCTCCTTGACCAATTTTTTGAAGATCTTGATTCTATCCGCCCTCGAGAGACGGAAACGAGAGAGAACGGCGAGAGCTTGAGGAATTTTCTCTGACTTGATCTGGCTCATTGTGCTGTTTCAATCCGAGTGAGTGAGTGAGTGAGATTGCATGGATAGAAAAAAAGAGAGAAAAAAGCTGAATTAATAATAATAATAATAATGATTAATGATAATGATAATGATAATCCTTAATCCTCATTAAGGATCCGCTGTCAACTCCCTGGTTGCCCACATGGTTGCCGGATGGATGGTGATCATGATGATGATGATGTCATGATGATGATGATGCAAATTATTTTTAATTTTTACCTCACTCTTCTCCATTACGCTGATTTGACGTGGAGGGGCTAAATGGATTGCAATAATGACTCTTCTCCATTTTGTACAAATGGGTCCGTCCTGCCGGTCCTTTGTAAACGAGGACATACCCCGAGCCTTGGTTGATGCTCGCGATATCCTCCTCGCTTACTTTTTTGGCAAAAATCGAGGGGAGTATGAGCATGCGCTCTTTCCCCTCGACTCGAATCCAAGCGTAGAGCCCCAGCCCGTAATCTCCCTTGAAGTTGGCAAGCGAGATGAGGGGGTATCTTCCACCCACGGTAAGATCCTTCGGCAATATTCTCTCTTCTTGGGCGTCGTTGAAGGAGTCCACTAGAAAATTAGAAAAAACTAGAGCGTGTGGGGCGAGGTATTCTTGGAAAACACCATCATCATCATCATCGTAGACCTGAAAATTGAGAGTGTGTGTGCTCCCTCCATTGATTAGTGAATCATATTTACATTGATTAGTGAACCATATTTACATTGATTAGTGAACCGTATTTACATTGATTAGTGAATCGTATTTACATTTTATTAGAGGAAATCGTGAAAAACTAAGAAATTTAGATGCTAATTTTTGGCTTAAATTTACATTTTTTTAGCGAGTAAAATAGGAACTATTAATGGATAACCGGGTTTTTCCAAAAGAAGTTGCACAATCTTGGCAACATTGTAATATTTTCAGGACTCGAGCTGAGAATTAACATATCTATATTTACAAATCGAGATCCTCGCCGAGATAGGACATTAGCGGCGACCGCGCGAGCTGCAAGGCAATTGTCTCTCACAAAATTTTCGGAAGCGTTTTAGATCGGCATCTTCTCGGATGGGTCTAGGGCTACCTGCGGAGGCGGGCGCGGTGCTTGTAGACATCGCACCAGACTCATTGACGGAGACAGAAACCTGTCTTTTCCTTCCTCTCCCCGCCTCCTCCCCCGCCTGCTCCTCCGCCGGCGCAGCAGCTTCGGCCCCGTCTCGCTCAGGCGATTGAGGAGGAGGAGGAGGAGGAGGAGGGGAAGGGGAGGCGGGCATCGGGCCCGGTGCTGGGAGACAGGTCTCTCGTATGCTTAAACTATATTTATGGGATCTTTGGGAGAATGGCCCTAGATAATTTAGAAAGTATTGACCCGCGTTAATTTCCCTAATGTTTTCACGCGTGAGGGCTCTATCGAAATCCTTGGGCAAACGAAGCCTGTACGGCTCACCTGTGAGTCTTATACAAGCCACGATACAGCGACCGAATTTACCAAAAGACTCCTCCAACGAATCGAGCGGATAGGCTCCGTTTTTTTCGAGCCAGCTCGGGTGGATAAAGGCTGGGCGCGGGGGAATACCGTCGAGCAGTTCCGTCACAGACTTCTCCAGCATGGCATTCTCACCGGAGCAAAAACAATATCTGATCCCATGATCGGAGCACGGTTCGGGATTCGAGGTATTACCGGGTAAAAAGTGACGTCGCAACGCCGCGATTTTATTCGTCTCCCGCCAAATTTGAGGCTCTACAATGTCGCGATGACCCCACGGAAGTGTGTGCACACCGTCGGGGAGAATGTAACGCTTTTGATCCTCAGAGGAGAGACCTACCTTTTTACTTTCACGCGAATAAAGTCGCATGTGCTTACTTTGAATACGCCTTTCGGTAATGTGGGTTTTTTCTTTATTGAATAAAACATTTTTGTAGAGCTCAAAGTTGGCGGTGGCGTGTAAAACGCGGGTGGGTACACCTTTCGCCCGCATACCCTCCCCACCCCCTCCCAATCTATAGGCGTACATTTTACTCATCAATCCCACGAATTCGATCACGGTCTTACCGCACGTTTCATCCTTCATCATACCCATTCGCTTTCGATTTTTTAGCGAGAAACAGGGGTGCTCCGGAGGAAGATCGCTGCAATCGAACCACTCGTCCGACATTTCCTTCAGGTCTTCCCACCAATTTTCCGTGAATACCTCCAGTATCAATCCATCTGTGTCTAGGTAACAATTTAAACACCTCGTAGGACCGTATCTTTGTATCATCACATCGTAGTAAAACCGGTACATGTGCACCTTGGACAGCTCCAGGACGGCGAAACCCACCAAGATCGCACTGTCAAAAACTATCTCGGTTTTGCGCAAGTGCACTGCGGCCAGTTCCTCGTCAAAGAGAGTGCGATCGAGGAAATCAACGCGGGCGACCAGTTTCAGAATTTGCTCGGAATTCACCGCCAATTTAATGTTACGCTGTTTCAAGGGGTTCTGTAAAAATTTACCGAAACAGCTGTTGCTGAGCAGTTTCGCGACCCCCTGGTGAAATTTTGACGTTAGAGTCTGCCTCAATTTGATATTCTTCTCTATGAAAGGCTTCAAAAAAGGTTTTTGACTGAAACTGAAAGCCCGGTTGATTTTCACCAGCCGGAGCCCGTGACGCAAGGCTTGTTTCAACGTGACGTAGTGAATGACGTAACTTTCACGGTCACGGAAGGAGGCCAAGAGCCGGGGTTGTTTCGCGCTCGGCAGAGGAGGTATTTCGTTGTTACACAAAAACGGGAGCCCTTGATGAAGCTCGTGCAAGTGCTCGGGATAGGCAATCGATACATCGAGCACGTAGCCGGACGGAGCGTCATCGGGCACCGCGGAGACGTCGAGCCGCGTCAACTCGTCCGCGGTGAGCCACCTGTAATCATCGTACGGCAAACTCAGAGTCATCGTGTGCGCGTACAAAGAATTTATGTCCAAGTACAGACCCCAGGAATGAGGAGCCGCGGGATCGTAGTCATCGCAAAGCGGATTATTGGGCTTCATGTAGCGCTTACCCACTTGAACGATACCGCCTCGTATGCCTGACATTGTCATCAAGGTCATTTCGTAGTCTTTAAACAGCTTGATACGAGCCTGCGTGGTTTTGAGCGCTGCCGAGAATCCGAAACTCGGCAACGTCATGTAATTGAAACAATCGAGGCCGTAAACCTTGAGACACAGAGCTCTAAAATCGAGGCACAAATCGGCGAGCAAATTCACATCGCAACAAAGGTAAAAATCATAATATTCGCCGAGCGTTCGGCACCCGAACTCTTTCCAGGCCTCGAGAAAGTTTGCATAGTCCTCAGGCGTCACCGCCGAGTCGGTGAGAGAATTGTAAAAATGTTCCGGGGCCGGGGGCTCGGTGAGCTCCAGCTTCTCAGGACTGTCGACGAAATCGTAGCAAAATACCGGTTTTCGTCGAGCGATACGGTACTGCGCCGGAGTGGAGCAGAACCGCCGCGTGTATGTGAAGGCCGACTCATCCAGCGTCGAGACGAGTTTGTCCAAAGACGACGGGAGGAATCGATAGGAATCGATGAATCGAATATGAAACCGTTGCGATATGTATACTTTGATGCTTATGAAATTTTCCTCGCTCGCCGGTACGATTTCAACACGGTACGGAAGCCCCTGGAGCCCTTGAACAACGTATTTGAAATCGTACTTGGACCCGTTGTGATAAACAACCGTCATATGGCCGGGGTGACGGTACTTGATATTACATAGACTGCAAAGTGCGCCGCGATAGTTAGACTCTCCCTCTGGCGAATATTCGTGCGAGTGATCGCGACACTTTACAACGCCTGGGGCGTCAAAACTGACATGGCAAATTTTACAATTGCTAGCATTTTCAAAATCGAGAAGATCCGACGGGCTCATTATAATTTCGGAATTGCGATCATTGTAACTCTCGTTTATCTCCTGCGCAATTTCGATCATCTTTTTCACGAAATGAATATGGGGGTCTTTACCTCGATAGAGAACAGGGGAGGGGGTGTTGAAATTGGGATCTGTAGAAACGATGAGATATGCGTAAGATAGAGGTTGGTGACGCCTGAAATTGAAAGAATTTAAACCGGGGTCGTGATCAATTTTTTCCAAATAACTTTCAAAATCGGCAAAAACCAGAAAGTTATTTGGAATCATTTTGTTCTCGTCTTTGAAACATTTTACTAAATCTTGAGGGGCAGAGGCGATGAATAAATCGCTGGATATAGCGTAACACAGTTTTTTATGAGCCGTCAGATCTTCGGGACTATATTTATGAGCGAAACATTTCTTGCAGATATAAATCCTGTTCTTGGATTTTGTTATCTGCTTACGGACTAGACTATCAAAATTTGAAATGTAGCAATAGTGAAATTTGCTCTCGCTCTCATCGGTGATGTACAAGAGATCGGTGTGTCGGTTCTCGATTTCTCTCAAACTCACACGAATAGGAAACACGCGAATCGATTCCTTATCTCCAACTCGGCCCAACCCGAAAACCGAGACGGAGCAGTTATTACGTTTTTCGAATTTACCTATTTCCTCGATCTCGACCGGAAAATTGACGCAGCTAAAGTCATATTTATCCAGATATTGCTCGTAAGAGCCGGGTCTTTCACGTTTCCCAGCTTTAGGCAGATATTTAGCCAGCATGGCGTACATGAAACAGCGAGAATCTCGATTTTTACAATTTACTACGTACTTAGTGCTTATAGGTAAAGGTAAATAACTAGAGCCGCTAGATCCTACAACATTGAATTTATTCACTCTCAGCTCGGAGCCTATGATTTTGCTAATGGTCCAACCCGAGCCTTTTAGATAGAAATCTGCACTCTCTTTTTTGATACTGGATTCAAATAGCAAGTAAGTGTTTTGACAATCGGCTTCGTGATAAATATTGAAATTTTTTGTTTTGAATGAGACCCCCTGAATTTCCCCCTCTCTCGGTAAAATGTATTCGGAATGGACGATTATATTGGATTTTATTGTTTGAAGTTGGGATAGCGCGTCTTTTAAAATTTGAACGATGAGAAATTTGATTTGTTTCAAGTGCAGATCCGTATCCAAAACGCTCGGGTCGCTGTTTCTAATGATGAAAGTTTGAAGTTGGCCCCCCGCGGCGGCAGGCATTTCGCGAACTTGCTCGTCGGACCCGAACAAATTCCTAAGGTGATCGAACGTGCGGTTGTGCCGCGTGGTTTTCAGATAAAAATCTTCGCAAATCTCGCAGAAACGTGCGAATTTTCCCTCTAAAAACCGTACTTCGACACCGAGCAGTGTCACCAGCACCGCTCCCGCCCCCGCCACCGCTGATGCCTCCTCCTCATCACCGATGACGTCATCCTCGTTTAACGAGGTTGCTGGCTCCGCTGGAAGAGGCATCGGGGACAAGACTTCCTTCATTTCTAAATTCTTACTCACAAAGTGATCGAACACTGATTCGAGATCTGAAATCGGAGGGCTATTGACGTATTTCGTCACAATACTAAGCCCTCTCTTTTCATCTTTACTCGAATCAGACTTAATCATGTAGCTATTAATTTTAATTTTTACCTCGCTATAATTGTCTATTATAAATCTAAGCTTATCTACAATTTCATTTTTTTTTATGGAGAAAAATTCGGAGAGATCGGTGAGTTTCGGGTCCTCATTTTTGAAGAAGTATGATTTAACCGTTAAGTCCTCAACGGTTAAATCCGATTCGAAAAGGTTAGATATGTGGTCTACGCCCGAATCGTGGGCGTAGTTTTCCGTATAGTAGACATCACAATAGTTGCAGAAGAAAGTAGGAGCCATTTTTAGTATAAGAAGAAGAAGACAATTTTGAAAAAGGAACTCACTTTTTAAATGACGGACGGACGGACGGACAGATGAAGTATCTGAAATTGATATAAAAATCCATCACTTTTTCGGTAAAATGAAATACATTTTCACCTGACATGAAGCATCAATCGATCAAACTTGAAAACAAGTATTGTAGCAAACTCCCCGATTAAAAATGATAAAGATGCATGCTGCTTGGAGAGAGAGAAACTTAATTTTTTCCTTTTATTTAAATATCGATCAATAAATAAGTCGAAATGTTCGATTGTTTTGCGATTTAAAATTATCGATTTGAATGCAGTGGAAATTTTCGAATTGAAAACTGTTATAGTTCTAATAGTAAAACACATACACATAAACTCACCAATTTAAGATTTTAAGAATATGCCACGCACAGGTATGAAGCTGACGGGAGGTGAGAATAGGCGAATCTGTAATTGAGAGAGAAATCGGTTTTCAGAAGAAGAAGAAGATTAAGCATGTTTTATAAAAATTTTGGATGAAAACAGATGTCTTCTCTAGAAATTTTCGATTTGAAATTATCAATTTGAAACTATCGATTTGAAACTATCGGTTTAAATGCATTGGAAATTTTCGATTTAAATACATTGGAAATTTTCGATTTAAATACATTGGAAATTTTCGATTTGAAATTATCGAATTGAATTTACTGGAAATTTTCGATTTGAATACAGTAAAACACGCAGACATACACATAGACTCACCAATTAATATTTTAAAAAATGAGACACGCTCAGGTAGCACACAAGGCGGATGGAAATAACACGTACAAGGTGAATCTGTAATTGAGAGAGAGAAATTGGTTTTCAGTAGAGGATCAAGTATACGTTTCTTATTTTTATAAAACAGAGGATTTTTCTTCTAGAAATTTTCGATTTGATTGAACTGTAAATTTTCGATTTGAATGAACTGAAAATTTTCGATGGTATCACGCGAAAATGAAGGAAAATCTTAACTTTTCATCCGACTCAAATTACTAACGTTTATATGAATATGGAAATCCAACGCGCAACTATTCGAACACTGGAGTAGGTATGTGGTATCACGCGAAAATGAAGGGAAATTCTAGCTTCTCGCCTGTCTCAAATTACTGACGTTCATAACTGGCACGATATTCTTGTGAAAAATGTGTGATACATATTTTCTCGCCTCCCTTCTCGGTAGAAAAGGATTGTCATTTTGCACTACAAAACCGCTTGAAATCGCGTTATTGAGTTTAGAATAAAAGTCACTAGAAATTATTGGATTAAATCAAGTCGCTTTCGGGTGGGATAATTCACTAGAAATTTTCGATTTTCGGGTGATATATTTGACTAGAAATTTTTGGGTAATAAATTTGTCTAAAAATCATTAAAACAAGCCACTTCCGTTTTGAAATATTGTAATGAAAATTATTGTAATGAAAACAAGACACTTTCGGGTAATAAAATTCACTGGAAATTTTCGATTTGAAAACATGTAAGTAGACTCACCACTTGAGGATCACACGAACCAGGAGCAGAGCACAGCAGAGCAGAGGATAGCACACGCACTGAACAGGTAAACTGACAGAGTAACAGTATGATGTCACTCCATGGGTCATCCTCAGTATTTATACATGATTTTGATAAGGAAAATATAAACATATAATTCTCTCGAGCTTGTTCATAAGCCTCCGAAAAAATTTACATTCGGGTTATCATGTACAGCGAGGTAACGCAAAGATTAAAAACGGAGATAATAATTATTCAATTACCCACGGTGTAACTCGGAAGTCATAGCCCACTCGATAAGATTCAGTGATAACGGAAAGAAAATATTGCATTCCTCTCTTGTTAGAAATTTCACCGAGGAAATCCCGCGACGGAACGCGAAGATCAGAAACGAAGATAAAAAAAATTATAATAATAATTATTCAATCACCAGCCGAGTGTCTCGAAAGTCATAGCCCTCTCGTTAAGATTCACTGATAACGGGAAGATATCCTTGAATGAAGCAATTGAACCCGGTATGATGACACACGGTGAAATATTCTCACCTTCCTTCGTTGATGTCTGTTGGTAATCAATTAAATTCCGAAATTGAAAATTGAAAATTTATATGACTGTTGATGGAAAAATGTTGAAAAGGTAATCGTACACTCAATGATTAAACTCGAATTTTTCAATCTTTAATTTCGGAAATTTTCACCGTTGTACGGGGTGATTAAATTGCACGACTCTTGTCAAAAGTCTGGGGAAATCGTTTGCTAGTCTTCATTTTTGAAAATTCAACCCGGTCCCCCGCTCAATTTTTCAATATTGCTTGGTGTGACGACACAGCACGTAAAGACGGCTATCATTTTATACAGTAACACTCTCGAAATTTTCCCGCTCAATTTCACATCCAACACCCGAAAATTAACTCCGATTTTTCTGTCCCGATTTTACTAGACTGATAACGATTATCCATCACCCGAAACAAATAAGATCAGACATCCTTCAATTTTCAATGTTGTTTGGTGCGACGTCTATCATTTTATACAGTAAAACAGCCCGCTCAATTTTACATCATTGAAGCTATATCACCCAGTAAATTAACTCCGATTTTTCTGTCCCGATTTTACTAGACTGATAACGATTACCCATCACCCCTGATAGGTATGCAGCCCGTAGCAGTCGCTAGTGACGTCACAGCATGGTTGTAAGATCAGGCAACCTAAAATAATACAGATTTTCCCGCAAATTTTTCATCAATACCCGCAATTAATCACGATTTTCCTGCTCAGACTGACAACGCGGGTGATGGGTAGGCAACCCACAACAGTCGCTAGTAACGTCACACCATGCACCGTACCCCACCCCTCATCCTAAAATAATCGGCATTTTTCTGCACAATTTTACAACACTGGTAATAATCAACATTTTTCTGCACAATTTTACAACACTGGAGGTAGGCAACCCGCAACCAGTCGCCAGTGACGTCACACCGATTCCCTCTGTCTGCGGCCGTCTTAAAGGTCAAGTGAGGTCAAGTGTCCGTATATCCCTATATCTACAC